ACACACACACACACCCTGAGAACATCCTTGCAGTGAGTGCAAGCTGTGAGGATAGAAACTAAAAAAAGAGTGTAATAAAAAAAAAAATGAAGATCATGGTCCAGTGTGGGGCTGGAGAGAATCCAGCCAAATTCATAGATCATCCCAACGTGTTCCCCAGGCTCTCCAGACTCCCTATCAGAATTTTCTAAAGGAAATGCCACCCTTGGTCTTCCCTACACCTTCATTTAGCTCAAGTCCACTGTCCTGAAGCTCAGGGGACGTGAACCAAACAAAGGAGAAAAGCAGAGCTTGGGGTCCTGAGATGAAACTTCCCAGCCAGCTAAACTGTGGGTAAAGCAGAGGTTCCAAAGGCTCCATCTGAGCCTGGTCCAAAGGGCGGTGAGAGGATTCAGAAGCACTTCCAATAACCCTGGGGCCCAGTGAGCTGACATCCTTGTTCAACTAAGGCTTCTTCAAACAACAGTTCAAGGGAAATTTCCAATGCTTTATCGGTAGTGACATTTAATAAGACAGCACAGCAGAGTCTGTTACACATCACACAGGTGATGCAGGAGGCCTGCCACTAGGTGAGCCTCACAGCTTTCATGTAGTGCCAGGCAGGCTTTGGCAGAGCTGTCCCCGAAGACGCTCTCGGAGAGAAGTCTAGGCATAAGTGGGCCAACTCCGTAAGCAGAAGGAGGGACTGGAGCAGGCAGGCTCCAGAACTACAACCCTGGATCATGAGGAATGTTCTGGAAGATGCCCAAAGACAAGGGCCTCATTTCCCAAGAATTAGCCCCCAGAAGGACTTTCCTGTGATTCCCACAAAACCAGCACTGTTCATTACAGTACCCAAAAAAGTGGGGGGATCTCTGATTCCTGCTCCAAACCCCACGACATTGGCCTCCATCACTGTCATGAGATCTCCACCTGTGTGCCCGACCCTGGAAGAGACCAAGCCAGCAGAGGAAGGAAGAGCACAGCACCCTTCCCAGGCACAGTGTAGAACCAAGCCTGGATTCCTGCCCTCCAGATGCCCTCTAGAGCCACCTATAACCTTCTGGTACTAAGAGTGGCTACACAGGGATGCCTGGGCGCCACCATGGCTGCTGGGGAAAGCAACACATGGTGGGCAGGTCAGGCCTGCAGGAGCTGGGAAGACAGAGCCTCTCCTTCCAGGACCATCCTGGACAGAGACTGGAGGGAGAGACGGGCCCTTCAGATCCACCCTTCTATGCCAGCTACCCTGAAGAGGCTCTGGTCACCTTTTAGGCTAAGAGCTCATCTCCCCAGGAACATAACCCCAAGAGGCAAGAGCAGGAGCAGCCTATAAAACCACCTGGAAAGAACCCAGACCACAAAGCTGGAAGACCCCCATGGGTCCTCAGAGATGCCTTGATTAAGTATCCCCATTTGATCTGTGATGAAACCAAGGTCATAGGTAATGAACCAGCCCATCCAGGGCCACTCAGGAGACCACTTGCAGGTCTCTAACTTCGGGCACCCTTCAATCCACCACCTGCCTGTCATCTCTGCATCTTGGTTTCTCGTTCTCCCTAGCCTATGTCTCCCAATCCACCTCAAGCCTCAGCTCTGAACCACAGGCAAGGTTCCCTGAAGAGCACTTTGTCATGCTATAACATCCCCCAAGGCCCCTTCTAGACTCACCTATATGCAGGCCATGCCCTCATCCCTGCTTCCCCCACACACTCCTGGGATCACACTTTAGGTGTGGTGCAATGGGTGTGGTGGGGGCTGGGCAGAGATGAGTTGGAAGAACACCCTGGTTCAAGATTGGAGCTTACCTAACCACATCCTGGGGCAACAGAATTTCCTACTCAGGACCCCAGGCCTCCCAAAGAAAGCCATGTCCCTAATTGAATAATCTAGATGCAGCATTCTCCATGGGCCTAGAGTTGCTGTTGTAATCTGTTTTCTACTGCAAGCAGCTCATCTGTGTGGCTCAGCCCATACTGAGGCTGTTAGCCCTCAACTCCTGGAACCTCGACCCCCCTAACATCTAATCGGGTTAAACACCCATTCTAGTTCCACAATGTGACATTAGCCTCCCAGTTCTGTTCCTGGCTCCCCATCTCCAGAAAAACAAGCAAACAAACAGGCCCTTCTGGTTCTTTAAACAAATACAGTCTAAGCCACCAAATCACCCTTTTCCAAATTCTTATGCAGAACAACGACCCTGCAAGAGCCACACATTCCTCTAACCATCTTTCCTCAAAATGATACTAACAAGAGGAGTCCTCTGAGACTCCTCGTTCAAGCATCAGTGTGGCATGCCCCCAGGCTCCCATCGAAGGCCTCCTGTAACCTCTTAGCCTTCTGGTGTGTCTGGCCTACCTGTAGGCATGGGGTCCTGAGCTTTGACCCAGGTTTTCTTTACCAGCTCCCAAAGGCCCAGTTCCTCATCTGTTCTGTCGTTCCAGGTTGCTGTATATGATGCGGCCTGGAAAGCTCATTTTAGCAGTTAGCACAAGGAGAGAATGTCTCCATCTAAGAATTCACATGCTCCCTTCTGTTGTGCTTTGGAAATTATGTGCCCCATCCAGCTTCTTGTTAATCCCAGCATCCAGAACACTCCGGGCTCAAGTTCAGTAACACTGCCAGACTGCACAGCTGACGCATGTGCTTGCTCTGCTTTCTAGGGCTTTCCATTTCCACTGCCAACCCTCCTAGTGTGGCAAGCATGGGTTTATTTCAAATCGACTCAGTCTGTTTGTGTCTAAGATGTATTTTTTTAAGTAAGCAGAAGAGAAAAGCCCACCTTCTTCACAGGGCTTTCCCTGAGCCTGCAGCAAGCTCTGTGCTCAGTCCCTTATCTGAACTCCAGTGAAGCTTTTTTTTCCAAACCAAACAAAGCAGCATCAGTGCACACAGGCCCAGTTCTTCCATCCCCCAGCACTCTGCAGCCCACATCCTCAGCCCTGATTCCTTCTGATGAAGGTAGTTTGTACCCAGTGCCTCTACTTCTGCCTACCCACCAGGCCTGGGGCCATAGCAATCTGGTTTGCAACACACACTCATTGTGAGACACCCTGGCTTGGTCACTCCTTTCTGACCATTTGAAGCTCCTTTCTCTTCTGGCTTCTAGACATCTCTTTCCTGGTTGTCCTCTAACTTCCCCAGCCTCCCAATCTCCTATTTCACCTCCTTTGTCCCTCCCTCTGTATACACCATGTTTCCAGCAGAGCTTAGCCCTTGCTGTACACAACATGGCTTCATTTATCACCTGCCCAAATCAGCAGGCACCTCCAGCCTGGACTAAACTCATGGCTACCACCAATCCTCCCTAAAACATCAACCAATCCAGTGCTTTAGTCACCAACAAGGTGCCCAAGAACTCCTAAACCCATCCCTTTTCTCCAACTCACTTACTGAACTCCAGGTTCCATAGTCACAGTGCCCCCAGATGTTGCCATGGATCCTCCAGGCAATGGTCCCCCAGGCACTTTAAATGCTGTGTGTCCTCCCCACAGATGGTTCCACAGCCCTATAGTTATTCAACTGTGAAACATGACAGTCATCACCCATCAAGTCATATTTATGGAGAGTTCACTAGGCACTAGACTCCACGTACAGAAAGAGGTGTGGAATGAACAAAAGAGAAATGGTTCTTCCCTCCAGGAGACTTTCGTCCAGTCACCCGCTGCTGTCAACTCTACTTACCACTCTTCTCTGAAACAATCCCCATTTTCCATTTCCACAGCCACTACCTTAATCCACAGCAGTGTGCCACAATGGCAAGAAAGCAGTATCACACAAATCCCAGCTCCAAAATGTATGTGTTGTATGACTTTAGGCAAGCTGCTTTTTCATTCTCTTTCCTCACCTGACAAAGGTGATACAGTACTGATCTCACAGCCTTGGTGTAGGGGTAAATGAGACACAAAGGCTTTAGGACACTGTCCAGAGCACAGTTGGCAAAACCTGTAAATGCGTACAATCACAGCCTCCTTGACAGGGTCCACTCCATGTGCACCCACCTCGTGGAGATTCCTATAATCCCCGGCTCTCTCCCTTAAGCCTTTCCTGTGTAACTCATTCCTGGGATTTGTCCTTCTTGACTTCCAAGGCTCAGCCCCAGATGCCAAGGCTCGGGCAGATGCCCCTCTCCTGTGCCTCTAGCCTTGTCCCACTGCATTGGGACCACTTCTCTACTTGTGTTTCCCTGGTGGACTGTGTGCTCCATTGAGAGCATCCTGTCTACCTCTGAAAGGCCAGGCCTTAGCACCAAGTGAAAAATACAAGAATTATAAAGAGGCAAATTCCAATTCACTATAACCAAAAACAACAAAAAAAGCACTTCCTAATAATTAGGCTACAGCTTTTTGTATGCACATATAATCAATCAAATGCCACAATAACCCTGTGAGGTAGGTATTTTTATTCTAGTTTCACATGTGAAGGGACAGAGGCTCAGGAAATCTTGAAAACTCGCTCAAAGCCACACAGAATTCAAACCCAGCACTGTCACACTCCAGAACCTATTCTTCAGTCAACACCAACCTGGTTCAGCTCTCAGTCCGCAAGGAGCAGGCTCTTGGCTCTACAAGAGCGCCCTCCTTTGCAAGGGATTTCCTTTACAAAGGGGATCAAATTCTCTTAACATTCTTCTCCTTCTGAGACTCTACGAGTCTGCGAATTTAAATTATAAGTTCCTCAGAGGTCCATCTTGGCCTCCCTTGAGGTACTTAGCATGAGGCTGAGCACAAAATGGGCAAGTAATAAATTCAGCTTGAATGAATGAATGAGCAGATGACAGAAGAATAAATGGATGAACGATTTCATAAATGGGCAGATGGAGGGATAGATGGATAAATGAATGAATAAAATGAACAGATGACAGCTGATTTAGCACATGTCCAAGTCAGTTTTAACCTTGACATTTTCTTCTGGGCTCAAGGCAATCCACTGGAGCTCAGAGAATGTGAAGAAGGGAAAACACCAGTTGGAGCCACAAAAGCCCCCGTGATCTGACACCCCACAGCTGTGGCCGCTCTTACCGGCACAGGTGGTCCATCCGGCAGAGGCCTCGCAAGTCCAGGCAGTTGGGCTTCTCCTTGTCCTCGTAGGAGCAGCTGGGCAGGATGGTTTGCCTGCGGCGTTCGGCGCACGCCTGGTCCTGGCAGGAGCAGAAGAGCATGCGGTAGGTGTACTCGCTGGGCACCCGGTCAAAGAACTGACGCAGGGCCTTGTGGCACTTGCGGCGGTTGCAGCGCTCCATGGACACGGTCTCACGGTTGCAGATGGAGATGTAGGAGGAGCGCAGCTTCTTACAGTTGTCATTCAGGTTGCAGGCCTTGGCGGCATCCAGGCAGTGGTTGCTCTTGGTGCTGACCACGGGGTCTGCCCCCGTCCCTGGAGGAGAAAGGAGAGTGCAGATCAGAGGCCCACACAGGCACAAAGGGACACAGGAGCCCGAGATCAGTATACATCCACATGTCTGCTCTTTGTCTCAGTTTTCTCATCTGTGTAACAGGAATCACGTCGCGGGACCTGGCTCCTGAGATTGTGGTGAGCAATAAGGAATTAGTACACAGGTCCACGAAGTAAGAACTCAAGACAGTATGAGACACAGGCTAAGCTGCACGTGTGGGAAGTGACTGGGATGGTGACAATCAGTCCATCTTATCTCAAAGTTATCAATAAAGCCCAAAAGGCATGCAATCTCATGCATGTAGCCCTGTTTACAAATGCGGGAAATAAGGACTGGATGCATTGGCTCATACCTACAACCCCAGCTACTCACAAGATAGAGATTGGGAGGATCACAGTTTAAGGCCAGCTCAGACAAAACACTAGTGAGATCCCCGTCTCAACAAAGAAGCCCGGCTTGGTAGCACACACCTGTGATCCCAGCTATGTGGAAGGCATAGGCAGAAAGAGCATGGTCTGAGGTTGGCCCCCAGCAAAAAGTGAGACCCTATCCACAAAATAACTAAAGCAAAAAGTGTTGTGGGCCTGGCTCAAGTGGTAGGGCACCTGTCTAGAAAGCTAAACCCCAGCACTGGAAAAAAATGCAGAAAATAACATGACTGGCTCAAGGTCACACAACCAGAGTGCCCTGATTCCCTGCTCTCAACAGCACACCTGAGCAGGGCTTCAATTTAGAGTGGGACAATGCTTATCACTGGGTCTATGGCAGCCAGGGTATGAGCAGTATCACAACCATCTCCTCACCCCCACCCTGTGACCACCGACACAGTCTCTAGCCAGTTCAAATATCCCTTCTGGATGGGGGAGGGACTGGCTGCCACTGCCACCTAAGAAGAAAACATTGAGCTGGGAGATACCTGCAAGTGTGTGGTCAGGGCTGCCCCCACCCCCACCTGGACCTTCAGGGCTGAGTTCGTAAGCAATCACAGGGCAGGTGTGCTTGGACATGATGTTTTGGGCCTCTGCCCACCAGGTGAAACACCTTAGACACAAAGCAAGACTCCCAGAAATTGCTATGCTCCCCTATCGGGGCTGCCCCATCCTCAGGTCTCACTTGTTCTGGAGAGACATGTGGCACAAGATGAACTGACCTCCACCACCAGACAGTTCCCACCTACACAGTGCCTGACGACAGACAGAGTGAGCAAGCAGGACCCATCCGCACACACCTCTTGAGATGTTCTGGTGTGAGCCAGGTGTACAGTCACCCAACTCAACCTCATCAGTTTACAGATTTTTTTTAAAATGAGCCCCGAGTGGGCAAGGGGCCTGCCCACAGTCACCCAGCAAACTGTCAGCAAACCAGAACAGGAGCCTGATCACCCAGCACTAGGGTATGCCAGGGAGGACCATCGGCTTCAGGCTTGAGAGAAGTCATAGCCTTTGCATCACTCTTTATTCACCCCAGCCTTTCTGAAGCATTTCTCTCTGTTCAAGGCACTGTCACTGGTGGAGGACTCAGGATTAGGCTAGTGGAGGCCACGATCCCTCCATGGTGGGCTCTGATGTTTCAGCATTTGCAGCACACAGCTCCTTGTATTTCCCTCACCTGGTCATTAAAGGCCTTTTAAGACCCAGTCCTCTGCTGGGTGCTGGGTGGCAACAAAAGTGTAAGAGGAAGCCCCCGTCTGGAAGGGCCGAACACTCCAGCTAGGAAACCAACAGGCAGAAGCACACAGTGGCCAGGACAAAGCCTCTGAGAACTGAGCCATCAGCCTTCAACTCCTGGCCCTGCTATTCACCAGCTGTGTGACCTTGGGCAAGTGACTAAATGTTTCTTTGCCTGTTTCCCTGTCTACCAAATAAAATCGTCATACACATAAATAAAATCACACATTTTTTTCTTTCTCCTGCATGTCGTGATTTTTCCCTGTCTACTCAAACATTCCCACCAGCTATTATAATGTCCATCTTAAAAAAAAAGACCTCCTCATGATCATACACGCATTCCCTCCCCTACCACCACCTTTAAACTGCTACTCCTATTTTCTGCTTTTAAAGCAAAACCACTCAAACTAGTTGTTTATACCAGCCATGTCTTGCTCTCCTCCCATTCTCTGTTTGGACCTACTTCAGCCTGACATCTGCCCCCCACCCCAATTTGATGATCAGCAGTCCTTGGGCCTTACCCTCCCCCATCCATCAGCAGACCTAGACACAGAGGACCACTGCCTACTGACTGAGCCTCTTGCTCACTTGCCTTCCTCCATTCTCTTCTAGTCTCCCTGACACCCCTGCTCTGCCTGATTTACTGATTCCCCTCTTCATTGCCCCAGGCTCAGCCCTCCTCTCGATGCACCTGGGGCTCTCATATCATCTCATGGCTTTAAACACCATCAATAGGCTTTAATTTCTCCAGATCAAACCTCTCTGCTGAATCCATCCACCTGTCCAACTCCTACTCAGCCACTCTGCCTGAAACCCAAATCACACATCTCAAATCCAGACCCCCAAAGGCTACCCTCCCTGCCAACAGCCTTCCTCTGCCTGCTGCAAATAGCTGCACCCTTCCAGTAGCACAAGTCAAAACTCTGGCCATCCTCAACTCCTGTCATTCACAGACCAGATCAGGAAAAGCTGGAGGTTCTACTTCCTAAATGCATCCAGAATCTACCACTTCTCACCACTCCATTGCTACCACCTTGGACCAAGCCGCTATTTTTCTGTGCCTGGTAAAAGCCTCTTTCCAGGCACCATGCTTGACCCTCTGCCCCCTCTGCCCCCTCCTCTACCCCAAATAATCTTCTTTCACAGCAGGTGGAGTGAATCTTCTAGAATCAAAGGCAGAGAGATCATCCCTGAGCCTAAAGCATCCCAATGTCACTCCTCCATGTCACTCAGAGACCTTAGTATGACCTGCAATCTCTGAGTTTACACTGTCCAATATAGCCACATGTGGCCTTTGAACTTGAGATGCAACTAATACATTTCAAATATGTACACAAGATTGTGAAATACACACCAGCTTCTGAAAACTTAATAAGAAAAAGAAAGTATATTACTTTATTGTATGCTGAAGGGATAGCAGGCTGGATAGATGGTGTTAAACAAATGAAGTATTAAAATTAACTTCACCTTTTTTTCTTTCTTTCCTTTTTCATGGTACTGGGGTTTGAAGTCAGGGCCTTGGGCTTGGTAGGCAGGCACTCTACCACTTGAGCCATGCCCCTAGCCCATTTTGCTTAGTTCATTTTTCAGATAGGTTCTCTTGCTTTTGCCCTGGGCCAACCTGGGACTAGAGCCTCCTACCTCTGCCTCCTGCCTCGCTGGGATTACAGGAAAGAGCTACCACATCTAGCTTGTGTTTTGAAATAAGGTCTCACTAATTTTTTACCCCACCGGACCTTGAACCACAATCCTCCCATTTCCACCTCCCTCCGTTTAATGTACTATTAAACCATTTAGAATTCCGTATCAGTGGTGCATGCTCTATTTCTTTTAACCAGACTGCTTATGTGACCATGCCTGCAACTCCCTCCTCCTGGTCACTCTACTCTTGAACTTCCTGGAACAGCCCAATGATGACCTGGCTGCAGGGCTTTTGCACTTGCTGTTCCCCTGGTCTGCAAGGCTCTCCTCTTCCCCCAGAACCACAGGGCAACTTTCCTCATTTGGTTCAGGACTCTCAGTCCTTCCTGATCACCTTCAGCATAATAACAGCCCCAACACTCCACTAACCTCCTACTCTGATCTGTTTTTCCTATTGCACTCCTCACCATCTGCCAAACTATATACTTTACTTACTCACCTGTTTGTTTGTCTCAAACATAAGCTCTATGAAGCCAAGGGCTTTGTAGGTCAGGCTTGTGGTTGTACTCACAGTACCAAGTATTTGATACATGGTTACTGATCAAGAATTTGATGAATGAAAGAATACTTTCTAGTTAATCAGTGTTTCCAAAAGTTACTGATATCATTAAGGAAACAAAACTGACAGAGAGCAGGTAACAATGGTCAATATAATACCACATATAATCAAGTATTAATGTGGAGTCCAGGTCAAAGAGGCTCAGAAGCAAAATCTGGGGGACCAACTCATTCACTGCAATTCCTGCTCTAACCAATAACAGCCCTGTGAAGGCAGAAAGAGAAAAGTTCCCCTTCTCTTTATTATAAAAAATAAAGAGTGTAAGCAGAGTGTGGTGGTACATGTCTATAATCCCAGCTACTCCAAAAGCAGAGGCAGGAGGATCACAAGTTCAAGGTCAGCCTGGGCAAAGTTGTTGAGACCCTAGCTCAAAACAAACTATGAACAAAAGAGCTGGGGATGGGGACATGGCTCAAGTGGTAAGGACCTCAAAAAAATTTTTGAAATTAATAAAGGGGGTAGAGGTACATCCAGACAAAAGATATCTGAATATCATTCAGTGATAAAGAAAATCAGCTATCAAGCAGAAGACATGGAGAAACGTCACATGGAAGAAGTCATACATATGATTCCAACCCCATGACATTTTGGAAAAGGGAAAGCAACGGGAACAGAGACTGTAAAAAGATGAGTGGTTATCAGGAGTTAGGGGTATGGGAGGGATGAACAGGCAGAGCACAAAGCATGTTAAGGGCAGTGGAAGAATTCTATATGATACAGAATGTGACATGCCCAAACCCACAGACTGTACGACACCAAAGTGACCCCCATTAGCCATGGGCTCTGGGTGGTAAAGGTTGCCACTGTAGTAGCCTCAGCTGTAGCAAATGTACCACGCTGGTGGGGGATGTTGACAGTGGGGGGTGGCTGTGAGGGAAGGGCAGGGAATTCTGTACCTGCCCTCAATTTTGCTGTGAACCTAAAATGGCTATAAAAAAAATCAAGTCTTTTAAAAGGGGTGGTTGGGGGAAATTAAAGCAGAAAGGGAATTAAGGTTGACTTTCCTAATCAGTCAATATAGTGTTGATCTTTATTGTGGGCCTACTATGTGTCA